GGAAGGACACGTTGAGGTTGGCAATCCATCAAAGACAGTAACTACCATGGCTTCCAGTGCTTTGGCCAAACCTCAGATGTGTGGCCTCTTGGCCAGGCGCCTGTGGATTCATATGGTTGGAGCATTTGTTGTATCCCTGGGGGTTGCAGTTTTCTGTAAGTTTGCTGTGGTTGAACCAAGAAAGAGGGCATATGCAGATTTCTACAGAAATTGTGATTCTATGAAAGATTTTGAGGAAATGAGGAAGGCTGGTATCTTTCCGAGTGTAAAATAATTTTGAAATATAAAGAATTTCTTTGGGCTGATTTACACAGACATTTGTCACTGACCTGTGTTCCTGAGCTATAAAGATGAGTGATAAATAAACTATTAATAAATTCAAAAAAAGAGAGAGAGAGAGACTGGCTCATGGGCCATCAGTCAAGAATATGTTTATTGTGAAGGACAAGGATAAGTAGATGTTATTGTTTCACTGCTTCTCTTGAGTGCTTGAGATTGCCAGAAATGAGAGTAGAGGCTGTGATGGTGCAGGCAGGTCCTGGTCCTGAACTAGATGCCAAGTTCAGATGTTTGCTCTGTCAGGTATAATTAGAGCCTACTCCACAGAAGAGAACAAGCTGAGAGGAAGCAGCCACTCCGCCAGGCCTTCTTGCACCCTTGCCAGAGGGCACCAGTGCATAAGTCAGCACAGTTCTCCAAGGAGAGAGGACAGCCAGGGGTCAGGACCTAGCTTTGGGACTTCACACCATCCCTTAGGACAAACAGGAATGTCTGGAAAAACCCCAGCCTCTGGCATTAACGTTCTGTCTCCTTACCCTAAACAAGACAGAGATAGGGAAGAAACTTTTCCCAGACTAATGTTCCAGACAAGGGGACACAAGAGCAGAAATAGGAATGATCAGCCAAGACTATGGATTGAAAAAGGAAACTGGTTTTCTTGTCCAGTAGGAAGAGTGGGTCAGAAAGCAGAGTAAGAATCAAAGAAAAATCCAAAGCATCAGAACGAGTAAAATCCAAGTGAAGAATGACCCAAGAAATAGGTCAGACAGAGCTCAGGAATTCTGGAGGCAGAGCCTGGAAATACATATATCCTTCAAAGCAGGAACTGAATCTTTAGAGCTGCACAGGTAAGCAGGGAGTCCTGAGACAGTGTGAACAATTGTCTTCTTCTTTATTAAGTTAAATGACATAGATGAAATACAAAGGACATATTTAGTGGAGATCATAAGAGAGAAAAGTTAGATATTTGTCACTAAAACAAATAGAATGTATGTATTGAATGGGATGTGTGTTTAAAAGGATAAAACAAACAAGAATGGTACTTAAACAGATAGAAAAATGAAGCTAAGATAATTTTAAATATTCATAAAGCATAGGTCATATTTCCTCAGTGATGATGGACAAATTTGCCACCCACTGACGACACCTGTCATGGTCCACTCTGGCCCTGCCAGTCCTCTGCCCAAGCAACACAGATGAAGGAGCTTCAGGTCTGCCAGGTGGTCCTGCTTCAACATGTGTCCAAAGCACATGCATGTTGGTGTCTGCCTAGCTCCCTTCCTCATCTTGAGTCTGGCCCTCTACCTGCACCGTCAATGGGAAAGCTAGTGCAGCAGAAAGAGCAGAACGTATGAATGTTGTGTTCTTCCACCTCTGATAGTAGCCTTGGAAGCTACCATTGCATCAAGGTAATTTCCCACATAATACTCATAGGAGTTAGCTATAAATTCCTTAAAATGAAAATATCTTAGGTACTTATCTTCAAAGGGCATGAAGAATGAGGAATTGGGGAGAAGGGAGAGGAACTCTGAGAACCAGATGGGGAACGGTAATTAGTGAGTGGACAATAAACCCAGTTAGTCCCCAGGCCTGCAGCTGAGGAAAGTGAGAGCCAGGAGATTCAGACATCCCAGCAGGAAGCTAAGGAAAGAACTGGGGAAAGAAGTGGAATAGCATTCTGTGATATGGACATTCTCATTACCCCATGTGTCCTGGTTATGGAATACTGAAGGATCAGAATGTACCTAATTAGTATGATATGCTAAAACAAAATAGTAAGTAAGATTAAAATATAGCGGGAAAAAATATGTCATAGAAAATTTTTCTTAAATTGTGGTATGAATACCAAAAAGTAAAGCAAGTTTCCAAAATGAAAAATAATTTCCCCACCAAAAATGGAAGAGAGAAGGTCCTAAGATTACCTACAGCTATAACTTTTTTCAGTTGCTAAACTTAGAGGAAACCTAGAAGTTAAACACTTTTCTAGACAACCAGGAGAAGCTTTGCTTTGCAAGGTAGAACTAAATAGGGTGGCACCTGTGGCTCAGTGAGTAGGGCACCAGCCCCATATACCATAGGTGGCAAGTTCGAACCCGGCCCCAGCCAAAACTGCAACAAAAATTAGCCAGGTGTTGTGGTGGGCACCTGTGGTCCCAGCTGAGGCAAGAGAATCAAAAGGCTGAGGCAAGAGAATCACCTAAGCCCAAGAGCTGTGATGCCACATCACTCTACCAAGGGCAACAAAGTGAGACTCTGTCTCAAAAAAAAAAAAAAAAAGCACTTTAGAATGTAGCAACCAGTTAATGTAGAGACTGAGCCCTGCACAGCAAGCAAGCAAGGTGACAGTGGCCTGACAAAAGCCTGAGTCAAAGAGCAAAATCTCTTTAGAGAAAAAATATAACAACAATTATTTTATGGGAGTGTTAACAACTTATAAAAATAAGAGTATTTAAATGGTAGTCTGTAGATAGCAAAAAGCAAACATACATTTTTATAAACATAAAAGTTAATACAGAAACCTCGGGAAGGTACTCACACTCCTTGTTCCTATAAAATGGTTTCATCCTTCCTTCAAACAATTGTTACAAACAATTAAAGGCATAATTCCTGTTTTAATTTACTCTAGAATGTGACATTTTACTGAATGCCACATTTCTAAATGTAATTCCTTCGATCTCTTTTGAAATGTTAGGTTAGCAAGTGTTCTGGCAACAAAAGAACCACCAAAAAATAGAATCACAAACATGAACCACAGAACAAAAGTTCTTGTGCCCTCAGCAGGTACAGGCATAGAACTTCCTCACCAGGGCTTCCTCCATCAGCATAGGCAAATTCCCGGGGTCCTTGGCGTGGGTTAGGAGGATAAAGAAAGGATGTGCACCAGCCTTGTAGATTATCGTCAAAAAATAGACTTCTAAATAAATAATTCCTCTGAATGGAACTGAAGCGCAAGTGATATTTAACCTACCAAGAATAAAGAGAAAACAAATTCAGTCACAAGATCTTGAAACTTAACAAAGACATAGATGGAGCAAACTTGTGCCTGATGTCAGCTGTGACTGGAAGAAAGGCACCCATTGGCAGGTGTCCCTCCTGGGAGCAGACAGCAACAGTGGTCTTACCTGAGTACTCTGTTAATTATCCCTCCTACCATCCAGGAAACAGACAAGAGGCTGCTCAGCCACTTTCCAAAAGGAAGGGCTGCAGAGTAATTCAGAGCAAGGGCTCTGAAGCCAGACCATCCAGATCCAAATCCCAGATCTCCTTTTTTTTTCTGTTGTTTTTTTCCAGCTCTCCCATTGAAAGCCCCGTCACCTTGGTCAAGTTACTCAATCTTCATACCTCAGTTTCCTCATCAATAAAATGGGGATGATATTAATAGCACCTACCTCAAAGGTTGCTACGGATTAAGCAAGATGGTTCCTGTAATATGCCTGGCATAAATAAATGCTTGAAAAATACGGCCAATTACTTTATTAATGTGCTTCTCCATCTATTAACATGCCATGCAAGTTCTAACAATTCATCCTTAGATAGACTATATAGTACAAAAGCTGAGAGTGGTTTTCCTATCGCCATATATAAACCAAATATTTCTATGTTTAAAATACTTCCTTTTCTTTAAATAAACATACACACAAGCCTACCATAGCTGAAGCCAGTGAGATTAGCAGTAATGACAAAAAATAATGAATCCTTCTGGAAAATTACTACATACGAGGCTCTATTCTAAGCACTTCATGGGCATACATTCATTTAATTCTTATAACAACTCTAAGTTAGAGACTTATATTAACCCCATTACACCAATAAGAACACTGAGGCTCAGAAACATTTATAACTTTCCCAAGATTATATAGGTAGTAAGTTGCAGAGCTGGGATTTGTGTCTATGGGGCCTGCCTGGTATTGTCATCTGCTTCTATAATGAAGCAATTACATAGGATAGATGTTTGCTCAGAACCTAAAAATAGAAGGAATCTCAAAGTCCAGGCTGTAAGACATGAAATACAGATACATTCTCTTATCTCCTCCAGAAATAAGATGCCAAAGTGGAAGGGCAGACCAGGTGACAAAAGTGCTTAACAAAGTCCTGCTCAAGGCCAGGTAGCACAATAAGACTGTTAGAGAAAAGAAGCTCTTACCGCAAGTGGCAAAGGTTCATTGTTGTCACTGAAGGTATGGTTAAAAACAATTCCTGCCAATATGTAGAAAGCTTTGGGATCATTGATTATGTAATTTTCAAACAAAGTCACGGAAGAATAGCCTAAAACTATAGAGAAAAAAAAATCAATCAGTGAGTGGCTGGTGCAAAGGCAAATGCCACCCAACTACCCTCATCACACCAAAGGAGACTTAAGATTGCAGCTTGCTTCCCATTCACTCACTCGTTCACTCTGCAAAAACATGAGCAGAGAGATGAGAGGAAACGGGAAGAGAGGCTAAGAGACATGACTCAGGGCTCGGCGCCTATAGCTCAACCGGCTAAGGCGCCAGCCACGTACACCTAAGGTGG